TAGTGTAGAAAAAGAGTATAGGGATGAGAATCTTGTAATTAGAAATATTAGCAATAGAAACAAATTAGCTATAGATACTGTATTTTTCGTAAACGTGAGAGAGCAAAGAAATAACTTGATGCTGGGACTCACATTAAATGGCCTAAGATCTGCGTACTCCCTCCCTCTTTGATAGCATCATTTCGTTAATTTTTTTTGATTCTGTAAGTTATTTTTATATCAATAAAACTAATAAAACTGATCCTGGGATATCGATTTCACATATATAAATGCATACCTTAAAATCAGCGTTTAAGTTGCGAATCTTACGCTTTTTGGATTTTTGGAGATTTTGATTATTTTCTAATGAGTCAAGAAACCCTCACCCCTGTGAATTATCACTTGGGGAGTGGTTAGGGACTGAACCCAGTCTTTCAATTCAAACATCATAAAACATGAGTTCTGATGGAAGCATAGACTATAGCATATGGTATTGCCATCTTACGTAAAGCAGAGATGGTGCATCACCGGTTAGGGACTTAACCCAGTCTTTCAATTCAAACATCATAACGTGAGTTCTGATGGAAGCATAGACCATAGCGACAATGCAAGTTTCTTGACTTCATTGATCAGACATTAAAAAAATTTTGGACCAATTGATTGATATCACTATCTAAGTTACACCGGGTAATTATTGGATAATTTTCGCATTTTTCCCAATCCTCAACACGAACAGTTGTCTTATAAGTTATAATTTACAATAGACAGAACCAAAAAATGCCAGAAAAAAATATACAAAGAAGCTCAAAAACGGGAAGTGATTCAGAAGAAAAATGACACTTGACAATTTCGCGCTCTTGTAAGTATGATAGTCAGTCAATATGAAATTTCTCAAGAAAAATTTGTAACATTTGCCATTCTCATCAACTAAACCAAGCATGCGAATACCATGCTTACTGTTCGTGTAAGTTTATCATGCAGTTGTATTTTGAATTGGTTTTGAAGAATAACTTACAACTTACACTTTTCTCAACTAGACTGAACATGACCGTAAAATGTTTTACCAATTGGTAAGTTACTCAATTAAAATTATTTATGCTAAGTAACAATAACTATATCCATCTTTTTTATCAATAGCATAATGATGAATATCGTCTTAATGCTGATGGTTATAATTTAGATGATTATAAAAGGGTAAATGTTTATACAGTAATACATCTAGTTAAGGATATCAGAAAGATCTTCAGGAAAAATGATTAATCTTTCTAATTTTTTAGATAACCATCGAAGCATCTCCGGTTTATGAGATCGACAATTCCAAAGGTCATTACAAACGCCAAAAGATAGAGGATAAGGACGAAGAAAACCAGAATGATGAAGATAGTGACTCGTGGGCTCCATCAAGTCCAACACCACTTCAATCACCACAGTTATCAAAAAAATCTTTAATGGTTCAAACTTCTTATCTAAGACCACACCTTATACTTAAAAGTGGCGTGAATGTAAAAAATCTTCTGGGTGGCGTACCTCACAATAATTTCTAAAATGGGAATCATTTCATTCTTGATAGAGACGATGATTGGCTTTTAAATTATATGAAAGTGAAAGATTTCGAGAAGTTAGTGGAAATTTGTTATTCTCATAGTGCTGTGGAACCGTCGACAGAATGTTCAAAAAATTAACGAATAATCAGACAGTATGATCATTAAGAGAAATGCAATTATCAATGCAACAACAGTTAAATCTTGATGACCTACTTTTTTATCAAAAGAAATGGATCTTATCAACTGTTGATAACTGGTAATAATTGATTCAATTGATTTATTTGTTTTAATTGCATTATTATATTAAGCTAGACTAGAATTATTTGTTAATGATTAACTACGACCTTATATTAGGCTAGATTATATAGAGTTATCTTCAAAGAATCCCTTAATCAAAATAAATAACGAAAGTCATAAATCAGCATCAATTTATTATTCTCTCATTGATCGCTTGGCCCTTCAATATTTTCGCGCTCTCCGAGCTGGTTCATCCTCTGAGAGTTCATCATTTGCATTGCGTACAGTTGATACAAATTTACATGGAAATCAGCCAGATATTTACTTTCGCGATGATATTCTCAAGATTGAACCTGGTGAGTATAGCTGATGTTAAATAGCTCAATGTGACTTAAACTTTCATTCTTATACGGTGTTTTCTTAATAGGAAATGTAGAGATTGCTAAAGATAGTATAGTAAAAGATACAGATAAATACAATCTAGACACAAATAAGAGCCTTCAGGAAAATATCTATGAAATCTATTATATATATGATAATCTTCTCACTTCAAAGAAGGAGAAGATTTTTGAAATGGATTTTATGGCCTTTGTGATATTCGGTATGTCGTGAATTTAAATTAGAAAGAAAATACATAAATAATTTAGATACCTAAAATTCATTTTTATTTGCTAGATAATCATATAGATACGTATGTTACTAGATTGGTCGATTACCAACTTTATATCTCTACCAAGGTTTGTGAATCCAATATTATCATATTAATGTGCAAGATTTTTTTTTATTAATTTCTTTAAATCACTTTGATATTTCTAGGTTTATAATATGATGTATCCCACAGAATTTTTTGTGAAGAGCTGATTGGTTGCATGAATAGGGTATTAAAAATGGTTGTAAGTAAATCGTTCTTTGCTTTGTAATATACTGTATATGCTACTTTAATACTACTATACTTTCACTTTAACAAAATAGTTGCGAATGAATCAAACTGTGAAAATTATGCGCAAAGCCAAGGTGGATGATTCAGATCCGTTGATTGATTCACCAAAAAAGTTCAAATATTTTTGCGACCCTCGTATCTTACCTCCCACAATCTCCGAAACTACTACTGAAAAATCAGGTAGTAGGAAGAAAAACATTAAGAAAAATACTACTAAGAAAAATACTAAATAAGGTGTATAGAGAACATGAATTTATTGATGTGATAAAAATACATATGAAACTCGAAAGTGTTATAATAGCTAGTTAATATCTCGTATAAAATAAATAACGTAAATGTATTCAGCATGTGATCTACTCCAATATCGGTCAGCCCTTTCTCATATATTACTTTACAAAAATATAATAAAGAATTTACTTTAAATTTTTAAATGTGTATGTGTATATATTCACAAATATAAATTGAGCTTGTAAATTTTAACTAGTGGCACATAAGACACCACTTTATTTTAAAAACTGTTCCTGAAACATAGCAACATACAAGCAACAAAATATAATTATTTATTTTTCAAAAAAAGTAATATTTAAATTTTTGCTCAAGCAGTCATACAATCTATCAATATCAGAGTGAATTTTTTTAAATTCCTTTCTATTACTTTCATGGTATTTTTCGAATTCTAATGCAGTTACAACTTCAACGGACACAGGAAGTGCTTTTTAAAAAAATAAGTTTAATAAGGAATGATATGAGAAAGTCAGTTATTGTAATTACTAACCTTGTTTTTCTTTGAGTCTCTCAACTAACTCCATGATCCTTTCTGTGAAACTGAGTTTGAGCTCATAAGGGCCATTTCTATGGGTAAGTTTTTCTTCAGTTAAATGGAGAAAGAGTTATCCATTGACATCTTGATCTTATAACTTATTAATATCATCCTCTTTAAAATCCAAACTGTTCATATGCTTCTCAAGATATTTTCTAACGTGCTTCAGAGACCACTCTTAAACGTTATTGGGAGCTTTGTCAGCCATCATTGGATTACCCATTTTTCGAAATAACTGTCTATTTATATATAAAACTAATATATAAAATAAATGTGAATCGATCACAAAAAAAAACAAAAAAATCGATTCAATGTTAAGAAATCGGATTGGCTGATCATCTCGTGATTTAGCTGAAAGCGCTGTACATAGAAACTCACCAGCATCTGGAACTAGGGGAGATCTCATGTGATACAAATTTTTATATTATACATTATGCAAAACCCCTTCGGATAATCCCTGTTAACCACGAGAGATCCACAAACTGCATGTAAATATAAAATTAGCTTAGTCGGCGAGATATGACCTATATAAATCGAATAAAATGAATCTGATATTTTATTATAATATAGTTGTTACAAACTGTTATAAATCACTATAAATCGATAAAAAACAGTGAAATTGCTAAAATCGATAAAATACTTTAAAATCGTTATAATCTGATACAATCTACTAAAATAGTATTATAGATTTAGATAGTAAAACATATTCTAAGTTAATTAATGCGCACAATTCTTATGGAGACTCTGAAAAATATATAAGAATATTGGATGCAATATTGCTTTTAACAAAAAGATATGCCTACGAAACACCAGAAATGTGGTGCTCTCGTATTAGAGATCCATTTAGAAAAATACTAAAAGAAAATCCAAGAATCTTTTCTGGGAATGGATACATTACAATGTATGGAATGCATAGCTCCTGTAATGCGGTATATGGTTTGCCATCAAATTACATATATTGTAGTGTGTGCGACTCCTTAGTTTTCATTCCTAAAAAATATTCTACTTTAAACGATTTTTATCAAGATAGTCACTTGAAGAGACGTATTTCTGAAAATACTATTTCGAATGAACATGTAAGAAAAAATGAAATTCTCGAATCTATCGATACAAGGGAATTTAAGATCTGGCAATATAAACAATACATATTACAAGAAGAAGCTAAAATTAATTGTCTCTACCTAGAGCTTTTCTCCCAATCTACTTTACATTCAGAAAAGAATAAATTGGCATCAATATTATATGATCATAATATGGATTTAACATCTAGCTATGAAGCATATGCACAGTCTAAAGCAACAGTAAAAAAAAATACTATGCCAATTACTTCGGAGTCAGCTTGTATTTTACCTGCTAGGCAAGAAGTGATTTCTCCAACTTCTTATAAAAGTGATACAGGCAAATTATTTATCTCATCTCTATATGCAAAACAGCCAAAAAGCACTGTATTGAGATTGGGATATAGAACAGAAATCACAGTAGTTTAACTAACTGATTCTGACTATTACTTTCGATCGAATAATAAAATTATTTATCTTAATTATATTCATAAATTATTTTTTTTTCTCGTAATGGGAGAAAATCCTCTTCTAGAAAATTAGAAAGGATAATACTCCATAACTTACAAACTTTGAAATAGTTAATATATTCATGAAAAGTTTCTCTATAATCAATACAATTGTCATATAGGTGAAAAATAATATT